GGATTGTTGGGTTCTTTTTGTAAAGGGGTGTGAGTTGAGTGAAAACCTCTTTTCTTGTAAAAGCATTGAATGGCTCCTTTAAGCCACCCTTATTCTTTCTAGTGAAGAGTGTGGAGAAAATCCTTAGTGGGTGAAGCCAAGGTAGAAGATTAGGTGCCAAGTGATTGGATCGAACCTCTATAAATCCTTTGTGAAAGCTCTTTTTTCCCTTCACTCTTGAATTTCCAAGTTGTGGTTGCAAAAAGGGAAAATTTTTCAAACTCCAATTCACCCCATCTCTTGGAGTGCATTAAACCAACAATTTCAAGGTTACAATGAGTTTAACTATTAGTAGAAATAGTATCATTTTCTAGCTATTCTGTGTTTAAATATGGCAACTCAAGCTTTTGGATACTCTTAGATATTGGTGTATGCTGTTTGAATATTATTTTCTATCATTTTCTTGAGGTAGCATTTGGTATATTCAGCTTTTGGAACTTAAAAATTTGGATACCATTATTGTTATGTCTTTATTTTGATATGACAAAATTAGGTATTTAATAATGTCAACTTTGTGTAAATTTTTCTATCAATTAATGACAGATTTGATTTAATTAATTGTGCTGTAATTCTAAATGGTTTTGTCAACAAATAGGCAGTGTTTTGGCAATCAAAAAATAGTGAGATGCCAAAAAAAAAAAATTCACTTTTCATTCATTTAGGTAAATGCTGTTGACCAAAAAGAGGCCCTGTGTTTGACTAAAAATGCAAGCAAAAACATCAATTATTTAGGACTTTTAACATAGGCATTATCTGCATTCTTTAAGTGATTTCGCTGCATTTACTATATGCATTCTTTAAGTGATTTCCTTGCATTTAAGTAAATGTAAGGAAAAAGAAGTTTATACCAACCTTTGCATAAAATGCAAGAATTGGATTTATCGGCATTGCCAATGCTAGCATTTGTATGGCAATTTTACAAATGTTGGTAACTTTTTTACTTACATTTAAAAATACAAGTAAACTCGTTAACAAATGCAAGCAATAAGCCTTTTTCTTGTAATGTCGTAATCTTCTTCTAATAGAAATAAAAAGTGAGTGCTTGAGTTGCATGACCTAAGAATGAACTAAGATAATAGATGGGAGATAATTGTCTTTTATTATGAAATTCAAGATTAAAAAAAACCACACACCATTATACACTTCCATTTCACCAGGAGAGTCAAATTAAATTGTTTTAAATACCTAAACCGTAGACTACGTTCTTTCCTACTGTTTCTAGATGCAATAATAATACTCATTTACTATTTTATTAAAGTCACTTAAAAATTGTATAAGGCTTTCGATCCTAATAGTTTGTTCTCAAACCTTAAGTATTTGGATATAATTAATTGAAAGTTTGATTTCTACTAACGATTTGAAAAAAAAAAAAATCCCCCTCTTTCAAATTCCCTCATGTTAAAAAAAAAAGTCACTTAAAAATTATTTAATTTCATTAATATTTTATTTATTTATAATTTTTTAAATAATTAATTATAATATTTAAAAATATTAATTAATTAATTTTAATTTATTAAATAATAAAAATAATTATTTTATTAATAATTAATTATTTTTAATGATCTAATTAAATAAAATTAAGTAATTTTAACAATACAGTAGATGTGCATCACCACACCCCTCCTACTTATATTCCTTTGGTTTAAAGCCAATGTCATCCCTCTACTTTAATATTTTATTCGTTCTTGTCCCTCTACTAAGGTCATGTTCGTTGTCATCCCTCTACTCTCCAAAGAGCCAAAACATTATCCCTCTACTTGGCTTTTTTTGTTCATTGTCATCCCTCCCCTAACACTGTCCATGTTGCCATCACTGCTAACCATTAAGTCTTAAATGGTCAACAGTTAAACCCATTTGGTTTTTTTTTTTTTCCACATATGCTGCCACTTGTGATGCTACCTGTGCAAGAAATAGGGACCACTTTGCCCAATTGCTTTCAATTTGTTTTTGGTTGCTAGAATGCAGGATGCCAACAAAAAAACATGTGAAAAAAATAAGACAAGCAGGAAAATAAGAAGAAAAGGGGAAGAAGGCGGTATACTTTCAATTTTCCCGCTTGGCTATTCATCACATGACCAGTCCATTGGGTAACATATATTGTTTAGCCTTGTTTTATCTTTATTACCCAAAACGTGAAAACCTCAAGATACAGAGTACAAGAATACAAGAATCTCTGAAAAGGGGAAGGCATTGTGTTTTGAATAAAATTGCTAAGACTTTTTAGGAGGTAATAATCAATTAGTAATCTATGATTAAAGATCGATTAAATATAATGTTATGGTGTTAATTATTTATTTGGTGTTGTCCTCCACTTTGCATAATGAAATAGATATTATTCTTTTGTTCTTTTCTAATCTGTGGTCCCTAATTTTTGCAGGTGAAATGGTTGATTGTGTTGAATATGGTATATACTTGAATTATGGGGGCAAATTCATTAAGGACCAACACTTCGGTATGTCGAAGGTAGTTTTCATAGTATATGACTCATACCTAGTAGTTTTGAACCTCGTATTTTTAGAGAGAAATTGCAATGCTTGCATATTGACATAGATGGCACGAGAGATTTTGTGTGGTATAAAAATCCTAGAAAGAAGCTTGATAATGGCCTCGTGTTAATTATTTATGATGATTCAATTGTTGACATGTTTGAACTACTAATGTATCATGGGTATATAGATGTCTACGTTGAACATGAATCTGAAATTGAGAAACAAGTGACAAAAGGTGGGGCCTCTCATGGGAATAATGGTTCAGTAAATGATGTTTTAATGGTTGGTGAGACAGCGACATGTAATGTAAATTTGCATACATCTAGGGTTGATTTGGAATGGGAAGACGGTTTTGGTTGTGTTAGCCAGGAGATTCAAACACCAATTGTAGGACAAAATACTAGAAATTGTGCACAAGGAAGAATCGAAGAAGATGTGAACAGTGGTGATGAGTATATTGATGTTCCTTGGTTAACCAACAATGAGGATGAGGAATGGCAAGCAGCAAGGACTCAGTACAAGGATAGTGTTAAGTTATATGGAGATGATGCTAATATAGATAGGGCTTTGTTTGATCCAACTGAAGCATTTATTGATGATGGCCTCAGTGACTTAATTGATTCTAATGATGAGGTCAGCTTTGTTACAACTAGTGATGATAGTGAGGCAGAGGAAGCAAGAAGAAGGCGATCACTGCACAAGGTGTTTGATGACTCCACTGTCAATCCAAAGTTTGAAGTAGGAATGATTTTTTTAAGTAGGAAGCAGTTTAAAGATGTTGTTCTAGCACGCTCTATTTATGTGAAAAGAGAAACAATGTTGAAGAAAAATGATAAAAAAAGAGTTAGGGTTGTATGTGTAGATAACAAGTGCAATTGGGCTTTGTTACTGTCCATTGATGGTAGGACAAAAAGCTGGATGATAAAAACTTACAAAGATGAGCATAAATGTGGTTTGAGTTGCAATAACAAGAGGGTTAAATCAAGAATTTTAGCCAGACACTTCATTAAGACAAGGGGCATTTCAGCCACTACACTTTCCCAAATCAATATCCAAGAAGCAATTCATGAGGAACTCCATCTTGAGATCACAACGAGTCAAGCTAGAAGGACAAAACTAATTATTGTTAGAGAGTTTCAAGGCAACTGTGAGCAAGAATATAAGAAATTATTTGATTACATATTAGAGCTACTGAAGAAGAATCCCACTTCTACATTCAAGATTGATGCAAGGAGGCCTACACCAGATTCTAAACCTGTTTTTGTACGCTTTTATGGCTGCTTTGCTGCACTGAGAGAAAGGTTTATAGCTGGTTGTAGACCAATACTTGGTCTAGATGGTGCATTTTTAAAAGGTCCTTGCAAGGTTCAATTACTGTCTGCAGTTGGAAGGGATGCAAATAATCAAATGTATCCAGTTGCTTGGGCCATTGTGGACAGTGAAAGCAAATGGACATGGTTCTTGGAGTTTTTGAATCATGATCTAAAAATTGGTGATGGAGAATATTATACTTTTGTATCGGATCAACAAAAGGTAAATTTTTATGTTTTATTGATGAATTATATACTTGTGCAAGTAATGATTAAAGAAAGTAATTTATCTTTTCCCATTTTGTAGGGGCTGATTAATGCTATCTAGAATTTGTTCCCAAAAGCACATCATAGAAGATGTGCTTGGCATATTTATGCAAATTTTAGAAAGGAACACAAGGGTAAGGCATTGCAAAGATGGTTTTGGATCACTACCAAGTCAACAAATGAAGCTGAATTTAAGAGGAATCTCGAGGAGCTTAATAAATGGAAGCCTGCTGCTAAAGATTATGTGATGAAGCTGGACCCAAAATTCTGGTGTAAGGCATTTTTCGATACCTATGCAAGATGTGATGTAGTTGACAATAACATGACTGAAGCTTTCAATGGTTTCATTCTAGATGCAAGGCATAAGGGTCCTCTCTCATTGCTAAAGGATCTTAAAAGAAAGTGCAGCAAAAGGAACATTGAAAAGTTGGAGTTTGCTGAGAAAAAATTCCAAGGTGATTTTGGTCCAAAGATTTGGGAGAAGATTGAAGACCATAGAGACAAAATGTCAAGATGCCATATAAAATCACAAGCAAGATGGCATTATGAAGTACAAGAATGGCCATATTCCTTTCTAGTCAATCTTCAGGACCAAACTTGTAGTTGTAGAGTTTGGTAGCTCAATGGTATTCCCTGTTGACATGGAATGCTTGTCATCCAGCATAGGCACAAGAACTATGAAGATTATATGCACCCATGGTATAGAAAGCAAGCCTACATTGACACATACAAACATGAAATAATTCCTATTGATGGAATGCAATTGTGGGTTGATTCAGGGATGCCTGAAGTTGATCCTCTAATTCCAAAAAACACACCGGGAAGGCCTAAGAAAAAGAGGCATTTAGAAGAATGGAAAAACACTAGTGGATCAACCTTGAGTAGAAAGGGAAGGGTAATGACTTGTCAAGTATGCTTCAAAAAGGGTCACAATTCAAGATCATGTCCAAAAAAAATCCAAAAAATTGATGTAAGTTCCAAACTATTTTTTCTTTATTATTGTCTAAATTTTTATTATGTGAAAAATTAATTTAAGTTGTGTGAATTATGTGATAGGTTGAAGATTCTTCAATAAATGCTCAAAATCAGGTTCCATTAGATGTCCAACCAGCTGCTAATGTTCAACCAGATTCTAATGTTCAAGCTCTTCTCAGTGTTCAACAAGTTT